CTGCTCAGCCAGCTAGTTTGTTCCAAGGAAGAGCCAGCAATGTTCCCCACAGCTTCTAGGATTTTCTGAGTGACTTCCTGAGAGCAGTCAGAAGAAAGAGGAAAGGAAGTTAGTTAAGGAAAAGAATTCTAAGTGCCTAAACAGCACCACCCAATAGAAATAAAACGCAGGCCACAACTGTGAGCAATAAATATAATATTAAGTTTCCTAGGAGTCACATTAAAATGTAAAAAGAAACAGGTGAAATTAATTTTAATATGTCTTATTTAACCCGGTATATCCAAAACATCATCAACATGTAATCAATATAACAATTATTAATGAGACTTTGCATTCTTTTTTTGTGTGTGCTAAGTCTCTGAAATCCAATGTGCATTTTACACTTTTAACACGTTCATTTCAGAGCAGCCACACGTGGCTACTCTACTGGCCAACGCAGGTAAAATATTAATATACAGAAATCAGAAGTCGTAGCAGTGCTCTGATAACAAGCCCACACACTGTATTTAACAGATTAGCTTTCTGGTTTCTCTAGGACCACGGATTCTTGCCAGAAATGCATCTTTTAATAATATAACAAGAAATAAAGTTAAGTAAGCTAGTGGACAGATGGGGTGAAGGAGGAGTCAGCTACTGCCAGGAGTGTGATCAGTGAGGAACAGGTCAGTGGCTGGATGAAGAGAGAGAAACCCTGAGCAGGTTCTCAGGCACTGTCACCGAGTGTCATTCGCTAAGAGGAGCTGGAATCCTCCATGTCTGAGAATTTAACAATCCTGACCTCAACGATCACATTGAGGTTCCTAAGCTCAGCAGCTGTGTTCAGGCATCTGCCTGCCGGGTGGGCAGGAGGCAGGAGGCTGCACCCCAGCGGATCAGCAGGCTGGTAAACTGAGGCTGGGTGTGGTGTGAAGGGCAGAAGGAAAGATCAGGAAAAGGGGCTGAGGGCTCAGAGGAGTCCCCGTAAAGGCCCAGTGCACTGAGTGGATGGGTGCGATACTGCGAAGCATATGTTTGGCCTTTCTCCCCATCTCCTGGCATACGCTCCTAAACACCTTGGATTCTCCAAGGTGATAAGCATCTTTTTGGATGCTACAGAGATGACTGGTGGCTGGGGCACCTGAGGTAGCTGCAGGACTGGCCGGTCACCTGAAAGACCAAGGCAGGATTAGAGGGCTGTGACTTTCAGCCCACTCCCCACCTCTGGGAAGGGGCGAGGGGCTAAGCGGATCACCAATGGCCAGTGATTGAATCCATCAAGCTGACATAATGAAACTTCCACAAAAACCCAAAGGACTGGGTTTGGATGAGCTTCTGGGTAGCTGGACACACGAAGGTTCCTGGAGGTTGGCACACCCGGGGAGGTCACGGAAGCTCCGCGTCCCTTCCTATGTGCCTCGCCCTACGCATCTCTTCGTCTGTGTTCTTTAGAATAAACTGGTAAACATAAGTGTTTCCCTGAGTTCCATGGGCCAATCTAGCAAGTTAATTGAATACAAGGAGAGGGGCATGGGGTCCCTGACTTATAGCCAGTTGGTTAGAAGCACAGGTCCACAACCTGCAGCTTGCAATTAGCATTGGAAGTGTGGGACTGAGCCCTCAACCTGTGAGATCGGACACTATCTCCCGGTAGATGCTGTGAGAACTAAGTTGAGTTGGAGGACACGCAGCTGGTGTCTGCTCAGAACCGCTTGCTTGGTTGCTAGTGGAGAGACATCCCCACACATTTGGTTACCAGAGGTCACAGACGTATTCTGTGTTATGAGAGTACAGGAGGAAAAACACACTTTGGTTTTTTTTCTATATCCTCAACGGGGAAGAAGTATAGGGTGTGGCTCACAACAGCAGGAAGCAGTTAGTGCCGGGGAGGCCGGAGGTCATGAGACAGAAGCAGGTGACCCTAGCCCCTCTAACCAAAAGGAGCAGAGGTGTACCAGTTGTAACAACTGAGTATACGCCTGTGGCCAAAGCCCTACCCAGAGGGACTGAAGAGGGAGGGGCCTGCTCTAGGTAACAGGCCATAAAAGCGGGAGGCTTGCCAGGCGGGTCTGGGTCGGTGCTGTGCAAGCACGCATCTGCATGCAAGCACGCATCTGCACCGTCGCGATGCTTTCTTCTCTGTCTACCAGGCAAGGCCAAAGAAGGAACTTGAACTTTCTAATTACACTTTACTACGCTTTATACAGTACAATATTAAATATCATGGTTCAGAATTAGGGAACTGAGGCTGTTGCCAGATATGCCTTTTACAAGTACCAGGGATTGTAACAGCAGTAATACTACCAAGGCTATAAAACTGACATAAAATCACTCAGTATATAGAAAAAAAATAGATACAAAAGCCACTGACTCAATTAATGTCGATAACGGTTACAAAACTGATTTTTCTAGCTCCATCACGACTTCTGTATTTATTAGTCGGCATTCTACTCTGAGGAGAAGTTTTACCTCCTCCTACGGGTGCGTTCTATTTTCATTGTTCAGTATTTTCAAAATTTCCTGTGAGTACATA